TTTATTTGAGTAGAGGATTTTGTTTGTTCTCTCTTGTGTTTCGAAGGGTTCTCCTCCCGATAGGAATTCTTCAGTTTTCCTCCCTCCATAAGAATCAAATTCTAAATTCCAATTTGATCATGGAACGAAGGCCCAAGGTTTGTCATCCACTGGCTATTAAGTGCTACCCTCGTGTTTTCATAACTGGTTCACACAAACCAAGTATGTCGAACGATATGAAAAGCCTCACGACCAGAACTGCTTCTTTAACATCTCGAAACGAATGTGGACGACTTTTTTCCTTTACCAAGAGCCGGCGTTTACAGACTGTTGATCTACATTTTATTAAGTCACCATTGCATGAGTTAGAAAAWTTTTTTCAGTTAGTTTTTTCCTCTGCTATATTGTAACGGGTAGTGACGAGCACGCAATATTCAACAGTACAAGACACTATTTGGAACCTGCTTTTTGATTGCCCCATAGTAAATCAGCTCTTTCGCGTTAACGTTAGCTTTAGTTGTTTGGAAGAGCAACAGGGACGTAGGAAAATAATTTTTATTGGGGGGGGGGAGGGGGCTAAAGTAAAAATTATGTTGTATTGAAAAAATAGAAATCGCGCGCCTGATGGTATGTGCTGTACTTCATTTATTTTTGAATATAAGAATTTAGTTTTATAATTGCGACGGTATTTTAGCATTATTACAAACAGCAAATTTGAAAACTCATTTCTCAAAAAGCCGTGTGGAGGCTATAGCCCATGCACCAAGACCCCTGGCTCCTACGTCCCTAACCAATCTATTGTCATTTTATTACTGTTTTATTTGATTGAACCAATTCAATCATGAAACTTTGCAACCGATATCCAACCGCTGCCCTCGTAAAACAAGGACTGTTTTTTTAACTAGTTCGCACAAACCATGTATGTCAAACCACATGGAAAACTTTTCGACTAGAATTGCTTCTTTAATAGCTCAAAACCTTCAAGGCAAACCATATACAGATGAGGTTATGGAGTTATCCACGTTCTACATATTTCACATTATCATTGAATGAGTCATACATTTAAAAAAATTGCTGCTCTCGTAAYGGATGGTGATTAACACGCAATATTTACCCGCTATACGACAGGTATTCTCATGCTGTACTTCAGGCTACTACTTTAGGCCAATAGTCTCATTATCATCATTAGTCTACACTGACCAACTCCACAAGCAAGCACACAACAGCACTGAAGACTGTACGTTAGAATGGCTCTCTCAAGACAAAGTAATTGCATTGTCCTTTTCTTTCTCTTCATGATTTTGGTTCCACTTCATGCCGCGCCTGTTCATGGCGGAGAAGAACAAAAACTAAAACAAGAAAAAGAAAAAGAACCAGAAACACATGCAGAACCAGAGCCACAACCACAACCAGAANGTATTCTCTCATTAATACGCTGTATAAACCGCTATCAAACAGAATTGTCTTTGAACTAAAAGATAGCAAAGATTGCAATAAAAGGATAAACCCTTAATAACCAGAACAAGAAAAACAAGAAAAACAACCAGAACAAGAAAAAAAAGAAGAAGAAAAACAACCAAACCAAGAAAAAGGAGAAAAACAACCAGAACAAGAAAAAGAAAAAGAAGAAAAGCCAGAAGAAGAAAAACAACCAGAACAAGAAAAAGAAGTAGAAGAAAAACAACCAGAACAAGAAAAAGAAGAAGAAGAAGAAAAGCCGGAACAAGAAAAAGAAGAAGAAAAACAATCAGAACAAGAAAAAGAAGAAGAAAAACAACCAGAACAAGAAAAAGAAGAAGAAGAAGAAAAACAACCAGAACAAGAAAAAGAAGAAGAAGAAAAACCAGAACACGAAAAAGAACAAAAGGGAGAAAACGAAGGAGTGGAGAATCCTATTTCCGCTTCAGAGAGAAACAGTGAAAATAAAGCCAACAAACGCGATAAGCATCTCCGCAAAAGATGTTTTATGGCGAGGTGTAACAGACGACGTGCATCTCGCAATACGAGGAAAAGATCTCTAAATACAAAACCAGAATTTATTTACGATGACTGATTGAATGAGGTATGTCATTAGCAACAAGCTTAGTTTTTCTTCTTTTGGTTTTAGCTTCGCTCTCTGTAGCTAATCACGCAGTTCATTGGACAATAAGTACAGTATTGTTTAAAACTACTATCAGATCTAGAACAACCCAAGACCACGCGCGTTTTACTTCTGGTAATTTAACTAAAACATCCCGAATTTAATTCATTTTCTCGCAGTAAACATCGCTTAACTACCCTCAATATCAACCTTTACGTGCCACGAGGTTCAGTTCCGCGACTGCCACGACTGTTTACAGGTAGCGAGTCTACACATCTTGAACTACTTAAAGTTTACTTGTGTTTGTATTGATTCTTTTCGCAGGGAACCGGCGATGAATTGTCCCACGCGAAATTCAACAAGTGAAGAATGAAAGTCAACGCAAGAAGACGATAAAGACCCTTAGCGATGGCACAGATTAATGATAAAAGCTAAAGACGTGTACTGATAAAATAAAATAGCCATTAAAACATATATCCTGAATAAAAGAAATGAAAACGATCAAAACAGCCTTTATTACTTAATTAAACCTTTGTTCAAGTCCGTCTAACCAGACAGACAGACAAAAACCCACTAGGAGTGGGAGAGGGTAAGTCCTAATTCACCCTTGAGTACCAAGCGATCGATCCAGGTTCCTTAGTCCTTACACCATTCCAGCCTGTTCAACTAGACGGGCCTGTTATACCTCACGGCTTTCACGAAGCAACCCAAGCTGGTATAACGAACTTCGTCCCACGGTTCGAGATGTCTCAAATGTCTAGAGTTAAGGATTTTGTACTTCAAACGTTTACACCGGATAGTGACGATGCAGTGGTAGATAATAATAAGAACCACCGAAAGGTAGGATACGTTATTGTTAAAGTGATTCCTTTATACAACCATTTGGCGAGTCAACTATTTTAAGCCGTTTATTGGATCACTGGTTATCTAAACTGCCGGACGGAATACTATAAACTTGTACTATCTCGACTGGTACTTGTGATCTGCTGTGATCAGTGAATCAAATACGGAAAAGGTTATTCGTGGAATGTTCCTATAAGACCTATAAACACTCAAGACAACCATGTGTCTTGATACATGCGGTACATGTCATATATTCAAACTGCTTTCGGCTCATTCAGTTTTGATTTCGAATCATAAAATGGCCAATTTTTGATTTCAACTGTTTACTTTCATTCTCTGTTTTACGGAAGCCCAGACGGCTCATGCTCACCACAAATTTTCATTGACAGTTAACGTTTTTGACAATTGACAGATAGCGTTGACAATTGACAGTTAGCATTGACAATTGACAGTTAGCGTTGACCATTGACAGTTAGCGTTGACAATTGACAGTTAGC